CAAAATTCTTGCGTGAGTTTGCCGGTATCACGCAAGATTTATTTGACAAAGTTGAACGTAATTGGACATCTGGAGTGGTAATTGACTTCTCTATTTGGATTAGATGTTTTACGACCGACATCTTATCTTCAACTTTAACTGGGAGTCCAGCCGTGTGTCCATTGTCATGTAGCACATCGAAATTTGAATATACACCAGAAATGAAAAAGTCATCTGAATTTCTTGAAAGCCTGAAAACATGGTTCAATTCCCTTCCATTCTTTGTAGCTATACCTCGAAGTTTACGATACAACCTTCCTATATTAAGTTCAATAAACAGACATTATCTTAATAATGCTAAACGCTTAGAAGACGAAGTTTTAGAGACAGTTATAAGACGTCGTGAACAATTAGGAAACTTTTCCGAAGGTCAAGCGAGCGGAGACGGATTATTGGATACGTTATTGACCATGAATATAAGAGACCATAATGAACCTGCCGAAGATGATGAACCAATGAAAGATGGAGAAATACGCGACAATATTATGGATATTTCACTTACCAGTTCAGACACGGTATTTATACAATATTTAAAGTAAATTTATGCCTTTCATGAATATTAATACACATGTATTGTCAAATAGACTGGGAATTCCTTCTGCTATTTCATATATTATATTTTCCATAATCCTCAATGCAAAGAACGTTTATTAGAGGAAATTGATTCGATTTTTGCTGATGATATGACTCGTCCTGTTACATACAATGATCTGAAAAAACTTGTCTACATGGAAGCAGCAATTAAAGAAACCCTGCGTGTGTTTCCAGTTGTTCCTATAGCACCACGATCACTCGCAAATCCAGACACCCTATTAGGATATAATTGGCCGGCCGGGCAACTATTTTTTATATCCCAATATAGTCTAATGCATAATAAAAACGTTTGGGAGGAACCCCACAAGTTTAATCCGGACCGATTTCTCAAAGATACAGAAAAAATCCAGAAAAAATTTTTTGTTCCTTTTGGTGGTGGGTGTAGAATTTGTCCCGGAAGGTTAATATTTCTTTCTTCTTTTCTCGCAAAAATTATAAAAATAAACTAACTTTCTAATATTTTTATAGAAATTTGGTAATAGTGAAACTTAAAGTTTTGCTTACCTTATTATATAGAAAATATGATATTGAATTAATTGACAAGAGCACACCTATAAATTATACATATGCGTTCATTTTTCAATGTAAAAAACTTCTTGTGAAATTAAATAAAAGAAAAGTAATTTGAAAAAAGTAATACAAATTAACCATTCGCTCAGTGACCAAATCTAAAGTATTTCATTAACAGGTACTGTTACAAGATGCGGAATTATGTTGCATCACAACAATTTACGACTTGGTGAGGCTTTTTAGACTTTTGAAATCTTTCATGTTGTAATTGCCATATAGAATAACCGATAACAGAAAGGCAAATAATTGTCTTGAACAGCAAAATTGCCCTTCCTATCACTAACTGTTTTCTTCTGAAAAGCGATGGTTTAAACCAAACATTATTTGTGTCATTTTTTTATTTTATATCGATAATATTTCTGAAATAGAAGTATTATATTGAACGAAAAACATAATATTTGAATTATAGAATTGGAATTTGCTTTGTCGATCATATCTTGAGTATAACTATTGTTATAGGAAAAATATGATGAGTAGATGATAGGAAATTATAAGGGTAAGTATATCATGTATAAATGGTATATCAGGTATAAATAATATAAGTAACTTGAAAATAGTCAAAAAGTGAAGACAATTAGGATAGGTACTGCACAACACTATTAATAAAAACTCTCTTTGTTAATAAACTTTGCCTTGTAACTTGACTCCAGTAAAATATAACTAATGAAATTACTATATATAAAGTAATTATTTAGAATGTTAGATCAATGAACTGATCTGTATTGGTATTACAAATTCTGATCAAATTCATATATCTCTTTTGAGCAGAATGCAATTCTAACATTATATGATATATAGGGTTGTTAAAAGTCTGGTTCAGTTCGATTGGCTTAGGAAGCCAAGCTTTAATTAAGATTTGGTCTAAAAGACAGGTTTGTTTCTAATCACATGAATTCAACATAAGTATTATAGATATTTATTTATATTATGACATTATAATATAATAAATAAATATTTTAATATGAAAATATATTTTTTAACATGAAAATTTTAACACATATAAAAATATATTTTTAATTTATAAAATAAGTTTATTTATTTATTTATTTTTTTAATAGTAGAATGGCATTAGATGCAGGATTTTATTGAATAATAATTAATTTTTTATTATTACAACAGCTAAATGTTAACTTATTTATTTATTGTCCCAGCGATATTAATAACACTTACAAAATAGGTTCATATTTTTGGGAAGCCTATCTAAAGGGTGAAAATCCTATTACTAGTTTAAATCACCTAATCTACCAATCCAATTTTTGTGAGAGCAGTAGATATTGTTGATTATTTCCTAAGATTACTTATTACATTACATCTTTTTACTTATGCAGTTAATGTAACAGAAGGCTCCAACATAATATATTCCCTGGTAAATGCTTTAATTTTGATCACTGGTTGACTTTAAGCTATCAAATCTAGGAGCTCTTGTGATCAAGTGAGGTGCAATTCCTTAAAAAATTCTTCAATCTCCTAGTAGACACTCCAATTTCAAACTGATTAACTTAAGCTGTCAAATCTAGAATATAAATGCCAAGCAGGGCACAACTTTTTATATAAATTGTCAGGATGAGAAAACCCTGTCACACAAGAGTGGTGTTGATACAGTGCTCTCCTTCAAAGCTTTCTTATTCACTATCCAGCAGAAAAAAAAGTGTCATGTGGATTTGATAAGATGGAGTATAACCCAATCTATATATTTAAATAAATGATTATGGTTGATAGTTGATAAGGGTTGGTTAAGATGAAGTACTGTAATAGTTTAAGAAAAGTTTATGATTGTCATCAATAGTTTATTATTAATTAAGGAAAACTTTATTAATATAAAAGTGAAACAGACAATTCTAAAGATAATTAAAGGAAAAATACAACCTTTAAATATATATTTTTCCAACATAAATAAATATAATAAAAATATATAAAGAATAATATACATATAATCTTAGTGGTTCTCCTGGAAGATCATATATATAATTAATAAAATAATAAAGAAAAAGAAATAAAATAATATAATAAATGAAATACAATATTAAACAAATACATTAGTAATATTCTATTACTCTTTTATATCAAACAGTAATTAATAACATATGTTAATTGGTAATTTCTATATCTATTATGTTAGAATTAATAATTACTATAAGTTTGGATTTCGCATCACTTCAGAGCTTCAGGATCAGCAGATGTCATGTGACTCTGTATATATGTTTTAGTCTAATCATTAGTGTTATTCAGCTGAAGGTCAGAATCCTTGATTATCAAGAAATTAGTGTTAACAATATCTTTCCAGTCAATAATAAAAGATGTTCCTCTCATCAAAATACCTATAGTCTCTTAAAAGTGTTTGAGAGGTTGTCACCTGACTTTGAGGAAAAATTGAAGTTTCGGTCAAATGTCTATAGATTTTTTATATTCTTCCCTCCTTAAAAGCATCATTGTTCTCAATAATAATCATGCTGTTGTGTTCCCATTGTATGCACCTTTACTCTATAGTTTGAAATCTTAATGCCTAAAAATAATTGTGGAAGTCTTGTAATAGTGATTGTGTTGTGATCAAGTTTTTGATTTGATTATCAGTTTCTTAGAATTCACTGATACACCTAGTATATACAAGTCTTGTGTTAACAAACATAGCATTTGTGTGTGCTCACAGTCATCTCATTATGCTTATGATGTCACTATTCACGGATTCTACTTATGGTATAAGGTTAGCTACTCCTTATAGACTTAAGTTTCTCTATAATGAAATAAAATTTTGATTGTTCCGGATCCAATCATTATCCTAAATCTTATATTTCATGGTAGAACTAGTTTCACAAGTTTATAATGTGTATAATATCTTGATTGAATCATTATTACTTCTTTTTATTGGTTGTTTCACTTGTTAAGACTATAATGGAAATAAGATTCATCTATAGATTTACGATTCTGATGATAATGGTGATAATAATATATCTCTATTTCCAAATTTCCAATTACATCATAATTTGTCTTGTTAGGTCTTGTCTTGACTTTTGGAATGGTTTAATTGATCGATGGTATTCTATTTTCTTTGATCAGTGGTCTATCATCACGTCAGTGATATATATAAAAAAAAATCAAATAAATAAAAAATAAAAATTATATATATATATATATATATAAATATTCTGCTTGATCCGTGTTGTTCAATTGTTTTCTGTCTTTAATTTTGTAGTCATTGCATCATCAATTGGTGGTTCTGTCTGTCTATCATGATATAGTTTTACGACATCCGTCATTATTAGTGTTGTAATATTTGTTTTGATCATGATTATGGGGCGATGCATCCGTTGTTGCTATGGTGGCCGTGGGGTACATCATCATTATTATCTTTATCCCTCCCCTTCCATACTTACTCTCCTTTATTGTCATTCCATTGGTTTTTTCCATGTAGCACTGTGATTTGTTGAATTCGACGTTTCTTTTGATTTTGTTGATTCTGGTATTCTTGCCATAATTCGTTATTCCTGTTACTGGTACTATTGATGATCTATTGTGATAAGTATGGTCTTTGTTAGAGGCATAGTTTTGCTGAATTCTGTTGGTTTGTTTCCAATATTTCTGTCTTCCTTTTGTGTAGGTCTTTCGTCAATATTGTGATTGCAATTCTTCATCCTTGTTGTTGCAGTTATACATTCTGATACTAATTTCAGGTCCGTGGCTTGGTAAGTATGTGGTCTTGTTTGCTTACCTTTTGCCATCTTCATTCTCTTTCTTTAATTCATTAGTTCTTCCTTCTCTTCTCTCAGCTTCGCCATCCTTCCTGTTCTTATCGCGGTGTCGAATTCCATCATTGTTGTGCAGAATTTCAGCACAACTCGCTGGTCCAGTGGCTCCTAGGTGGGTGTGTTGCTTATGGTTGTCTTTGTTCTCTTTCTCTCTGTTGTCTTTCATTTCTTGATGGTTTCTTTGCTTTACCCCTTCCACAGATTCGTTATCCATCTTTCGTGTGGCATTCATGTAGCGTCTTACAGCGTTTCAGCTTATCAGTTCTTGTGATTTTAGGTGGCTTCTTTTGGTATCTTGTGGGTGAGGTCTGTGGCATTTCTTCGGCTTTCTCTCTCTTGGGGAAATGGTGATGTTAATTAAATACCGTTTCCTTCTAGATTGCTGATTTTGCGGTTTCCTTTGGCAGTGTCATCAGTGTCATCTGGTGGTCTATCATATATTTTCATGGCATAACTTAGTGTTCTATGCCCATGCGCCAGATAATTAGACTCCAATATACATGCTAGTTATCTGTGCAAACTCAATTGACTGGATAAACTCACAAGGTATAAATATGTCGTTCTGTTATTTTAAGATGAAATTCTAGTTGGTATACCCTATATACTGTATTATGATAATCGTTATATTGCAATTTTGCCATTCGTCAGGTTGTCTTTCATTAATTCTGGATTAAATCTTTTGCCTCAATTGCAATTCCGATTATACATGTGGTAGAAATTGGTAGATCCTTGACGCAATTGACGCAATTATTTGACGCAATTAATTGAGTCACTA